TGCATCGTCCTCGATTCCATCTTCGGGTCTGAAGAGGAGGATTCAGTTCAATTCAATTACATATGCAAAGACTAGGCTTCGCCCGGGCATTTTCTCTAGAGTGGTCCGGCCTGTGTCAGTTATTTCTAGTGTCTCAAATGTACGCTTAGCGTGGAGGCTGGATTGCCAGCAAGCGCTCCAGTTTCCACGGTGTAAGCATGTGGCATACCCTTTTTACCAGCCTGGCGGCTGTGGTGTGGTCTCTGTCTTAGAAATTGCATGTGTTCAGAATCTGTAAGTAATGTCGTAGGGTGACTTTCGGCAATGCTTACATTCCCTGTCGATCAGGTAGTCAATAATATGCCAAGTGCAGGGATAATCTCGTCTTAATCTGTGCAGTATGGCTTCGCACCTGTTTATTTTTGGATTAAGTTCCAGTAGCTCATAGCCAGTGGCGTCTGAGTACCATCTGGCTGAGGGGAGTTTGTGTTATTTTCTGTGTCCGCCGGAGAATGGCAAGCACCGTAGCGCTGGAACTTCGGCTCAATCTTCTTTGGCTTGGGTTGACGATCATGGGAGTTGGAGGCATGCCCCTGCTCTTTTCGGCGAGTCTTCAGCAAGCTCATTCCCTTGGATGCCTATGTGGCTTGGACCCAGTTTATGATTATTATTCTACTCTGATCAAGGAACCTTTGTGCTATGGTAAAGACAGTCATGCTGTGGTGAAGACAGTGGTTAGAGGTAATACTGTCGTTGGGCATGCTGTGCTGTATACAGTCAGTGGCTGATCTGGAGTCTGTGTATGGCCATGTGTCCTTCCCTTAAGTATGCGTGGGCCAGAGTTCCCATGATCGCAACTGTTTTAGCTTGGAGCGATGAGGCCATTGTCAGTGATCCTGATGGATGTTGTGGCACCCTTTGCTGCGAAGCTGGCGCCTGCAGTGTGGTTTATGTGATCCACGGATCCATCCGTGATGTAGGTTCTATTGTTGTGTGTTATTTGTGCAATGAGCCTTTTACCTGTGCCTTTAGGCTAGGCATAGAGTTTTGATTTTTTTCTCCTTGACAAACTCAGGACTGAGAACTCGATCAAGGTGTTTGTCCCCGGCGGTGATTCTCTATATTCAGGGTGGGGGGAGTCCATGCCCTTGGCGAGCACTTGCTGTTTGAGCCGAAATCGTATGAAAATTTTGGTTGCGTGTGAGCCAGGAGTTGTCGGCGAACACCTGGTGGTCTTGCTGTAGGCGTCTGAATACTCTGTCATGTATGTATTCCGGGGTGCCTATATGACCTTGGGAAGAAACTGCGCTGCCATCGATCCGGGGATGGCAGGTTAGCCTCCATGAGGAAGTTAAAGGCCTTTGTTCATCTGTGGGCGTCCAGAGTGATCTTAACTACTTCGTTTTGGATTGTCTCGTTTTTCTTTTAATGTTGAGCTGGAAGCAATAAAGGCGACAGAAGCATAGTCTATAATAGGCCGACCAGCGTGTACACGAGTGTTCTTAATACTTCGTGTCCCTCTCCTATGTGTCTCCTTGCCATTACTTTCTTAGGTTCAGTCAATCAGGTACTGGATCTCCTTTTTGTAAGTGAGTGTGGCCTATCCATACCCCAAGGTATTGATAGTCCTTAACTCATTCCAGATCTGGACAGTGAATTTTGTGTTTTTGACACTGGTTTTCAGAGCCATAGCTTTTGATTTTACTGCTGAAATCTTTAAACCCGTCCTGCAACATTCTTCACACACAAGTCCAGATAACACTGGCAGTGCTAACCAGAGATGACTGCCAGATTGTCTGCATAAGAGATGATCCTACTTCCCTCTAGCAGGAGAATGTTGAGTATGCTGGATATGAGGGCAGAAAAGGGCAGAACGGAGGACACTGTTGCATTCCTTTATCTAGTGGTATATGCTGAGATCAGTGACCTTGAAATCTGACTTTTGCTGTTCTGTTCATAAAATGGTCAGCTATCCACGCCAAGAGTCTATCTCTGATTCCCATGTGCATTAGGTTCTCCTGCATGGCAAGGGACTTGCTAATTCAAAAACCTTCTCCAGGTCTAGAAATACAACCAGGGAGAGAGTAGTGAATATTGTGCTTAGGAGTGTGGCGATGCTGTGTGTTATGCTCATACCCCTGGTGAACCCATGCATGTGTTCATGAGGGGGTCCCATTTACCATCGGAGCCGATTTAGTACTATCCTCTCGGCTGTTTCGCCCAGACAGCTGAGAGAAATGGGTTGGTTCCTGCCTGACTCCGTAGATTTTGGGATGGGAACTATTATGGCTTTTTTCCAGCTCTGGGGTAGCGTGGCAGTTTGCCAAGACTTGTTGAAGAGCTGCAGGAATGCAAGCTCTCTTGCAAGACCTAAGTGTGAAATGATGGGGTAGGAGATCCCATCAGAGCCCAGTGCATATCCAGAACTAGTTTTATGTTTTCCTTAGTTCCCTGAGGAAGAACATAGCATCCGAGTTATCAGGTTGGAGTGCCTTGTCTCTGATGAGAGCAAGCCTGCCTGAATTTAGGCATTATTGTTTAGCTAGTGACTGTGCCATAGTGATCACTTGTAATGGTTTCATCGACACACCACGAATTCTCTCCGGTATTGCTGCAGTGGCGAAAGTAAGGCCCATGACCCTTCCCTTCACATGCATTGCTTCTAGGGTGTTGAGAAGAAGGATCTCAGGGAATGTGTCAAGCACGTATGCTATATGAATGTCTGCTGCATTTGTCCTTCTGTGGGATCCAGCATGGACAAATGTGCTGGTTTGCTGTATGCATT